ATGGTGTCATAGAACTTACAAAGCAAAATGGCCCCTTCGTTTCCTATTGATGCTTTCTCAAACAATTTCTCACCAGGTCAATTTCAACTTCGCCTTCTTTCTTAGAATTTATTATTATATAATTTCTTCAACAAATTATATTGTGTATAAATATGTTCTACAAATTGTAAATTTAAAGCTTCGATTTCGATCCGTAGAATCATATTTACGAATGGGTGAGAGATCACAGAGTACATCACAAATTCACAGATACTGATGCGGATCCGCATAACGCGCGTCGAGGATTCTTTTTTTCCCATATAGGCTGGCTGCTGGTGCGAAAGCATCCTGATGTAATTAAAAAAGGTGCTACTGTTGATATGAGCGATCTGGAAAAAGATCCCATTGTCGTTTTTCAAAGAAGGTGAAATATAATTTTATTTTTAGCCCAATATTTTAATATATTCCTAAATAATTTAATTATTTTTTAACTGACATTCCGTTGATTCAATGAAAAACTTTATTTATTTAAATTAAATTTACTTACTAAAATTGGTTGAGATTTTAGTGAAGAAAATTTGAACAAGGAAATTATAATACTCAATGTCTGTTTGAAATAAAGAAAATTACTTCTAATAAAAATTGTAGATAAGTTTTTTTAAAATTTTAATAGAAATAGTAATAGAATAGTAATTGAAATTGCATGTATATTTACATTTTTCTTTGATGAAATCACAAATAACAAATATGATTTAAATTAATTTATTTTTAAAATATTATTCAATATATATTATTTAAAATAAAATAAAAGTATAAATTTAGTTGAATATTATAAATATAAATTTAAATTATATGAATTAATATTTATTTTGACAATAACTAATACTGATATCATTATAAGAGAATTATAATAGAAATCATTATAAGAAAAATTAAATTAAAAAAGAAAATTGAAAATTTGTTCGTAATATATGATTAAAGATTCAATTCAGGCAAACTTATTAAAGTTTATTAAGAACCGATTATCATTCTTCTAAATAAACCGAATAGAGATTGCTTGTAATGCTCGATATATCTCAAATCTTTCTCTGGGTATTTTTTAGATTTTTTTATGTGCTAATGCCACTCTTATGCTTCGTGTTTCCGGCGTGGATACCATATTATTTCTGGAATGAACAATTCATATATTCCTGGTATAACAATCTAGCAAGATATGTTTTTTGCTTGAACGCAACGTGGTTGGTAAACTCTGCTGCTCATATGTGGGGCATGAGACCATATGATGTGTAAGAAATTAGTTTATTTGGATCCTTTTATAGTAATAATGATTATAATATATAATATTTACAATACTTATTTTTAGTTTAATTGAAAGTTATAAATATATGTTTCATCGTTTTTAATTTTCTTTAGAAATTGCAATGATAATTGCAATGAATGTTATATTACAATTTTAAATTTGATAAAAAGTTATAACATTATTATTGTTTCTAATTTATTGCAATTAAATACTATATATTTTTAATGATATAAAATTGATAATAACGATCTTTATTGTTCACATATTCTTTAAAAATTACATTAAATCTTATAATATACATTAAATCACATCATTAAATATTACACCATTAAATTACATCTTATATAAAAAGGCATTTATTTTTCACTGTTTCTTATTTTCATATGTCAAAAATTGTAATAATACATTAAATTATTTTACAATTTTTAATGATAAATATAAAATAATTTATTTCAATTTTGTTTTAAAATTATAGCATTGGAAAAATAAATTCAAAATTTCAATATAGATACAATATATAATAAATTTATTACAAAAAGCAAATGTTTATTCGTTTCATATACGTATATAAAAAAAATTCAAAATAAATAAAAACTAAAATTTCAGGAAATTCATATAATTTCCAGGAATATTGTTCCAACCGAAAATCTAGTTGTATCTATGCTAGTATGTGGTGAAGGATGGCACAATTATCATCATGTATTCCCATGGGATTATAAAGCCGCTGAACTTGGTGGCTATAAAACCAACTTTACCACTGCGTTCATCGATTTATGCGCTTTATTGGGACAAGCGTATGATTTAAAAACTGTTCCCGATGAAATGATTGCAAAACGAATACTCAGAACTGGAAGTGGATCAAGGTATCGATAATATTATTATTAATGTATTTTAAATTATAATAGTCAATAATTAAAGAATACTACCTAAGTACTAATTGTTTAATTGATGTTAGTTCTTTATGTAATAAATAGTTCATTAATTCTTCCAATATGGTTTCTATAAATCATAGAAAATGTAGAAATTTTCAGCAATGGTAGAAAAAGTTCTACCATTCATTCAAAATAATTAATAATAAATTTTTAGTATTAAAAATTATATATAGAATATAACCACCGGAATAAAGATTAGGAAGAATATAAAAAATAAATATTTTAAATATCTAAAGCCAAAAGTTAAAAAAAAAAATTCATCTAGAATTAATCGAATAATTTCTTTATCAATGTTTGTAGAATAATTTTCTCGTAATATATATATAATCTTCAAATCAAATTTTATTTGTAGTTGCAATAAAAACGAAACCATTCATCATCATGAAGATATGAAGTGGGGCTGGGGCGATAAAGATATGAAACCTGACGAAATCGAAGAAACGAGAATTTTTAATAAAAAAGATTAATGAATTCTTTATATTTAAAGCAATTAACATTCATTATAAATACGATTAAGAGTTTCTAATTATCTTTACCTATAAGAAGATAAAATAATTGAAATTATCCAATAAATACAATACAGTACCTATTATTTTCATTTCTGAGTTTTATTATCGCTACTATTTTTCATATTTTTTCAATCACATCCTTGATTATGATTTCATATAATAAATATTACTTTTCAAATACAAAAATTTTAATAAAAAAATAACATATTTACATAATATATATTTTTAATGGTACTGCAACAATAAATACCTTAATCAATATATTTTGTTATGATATAGATTTCTTGATGTATATGTGTTTCTGATAATGATTTATTTAGAAAAAAAATTGAAAATTGTATATTTGTATTTTTAAAGAAATAACATTGTTTCTTTAGGAAAATTACAAATACATAAAATAATAACATTTTAATTAGACCAATGCATAAAAAAATAATTACTATTTCTAGTTTTAAAAATAATTGAAATAAAATTTCTTAGAAAACAATATTTATTATATAATCAAGGACTGTTCCTAATTTAGACAATCATTCGATACTTTCTATTTTTAAAATTTGTATTAATATAAAATGTTATATTTGTAAATAATTATGAATAATGTAAAATATATATGTATATATAAAAACGAAAAATGTAATTGAATAAATTACATAATAGAATTCATAATTACTGATTCATTATGAAGCAAAATCATCTGAGAATTGGAACAACTCATTAAGGATTGCTGTAGTATTCACTTGCTCAATACTTGCTAAAAATTATAGAATTTTTGAATTTAAAAATACAATTATTTTACTCAAAAATTCCCTTATTTATTATTTATCGTATCATGTTTTAAAAAAATTTTCTGTTTCTTGTTGATCTTATAACGCATTTAATTGAAAATTTGTTGCCAATACGATGTTTTATTTTTGTTCCGTAGTTGATATGAAATTTATTTTTTGTAAAAAATTTCTAAAACATTTAAAAAGATATATATTTCTTTAATACGTGTACTGTTTATGCAACTGCATTGTTTACTTATGCGAGATAACAATATCGTAGCAACATCACGGAAATTGAAATCAAAGTGCGACTATTATTATACAATAACATAGATTAATAACTATGAAGCTAACATTATCATTTTAATGTTCTTTAGATATTAACAGTCCAGAATAAGATAAAAATATTTGTAATCATTATAATAAAAATTGCATCTTAATAAAATGAAATCATGAAAAAAATATACAACAGATTATTTTTTAAATGTAAACAAGATACAAATTTTTCAGATATTTCGAAAACCTATCATATGCAATTGATATAATATTTTGTGAATAGTCTTTGTTTAAACAAAAACAATATTTGTAAGAACACAGATTTAAATGAAACGAAAGCAAAAGCCTAAAAATTTTGCGAATTCAACTATTATAATATCTCCGTTTTATTGAAATAATATTCTAAGAATTCACATTATCTTTTTGACATGAAACATTATCGTTTCAGTATAGAAAATGATTATGTTATTACTAATGGTTAAAATCTGACATTATTATAAAAACCATAAGTAAGGAATAAACCAAAATGGCTTGTGTTTCTGAATATTGCATGCGAGATTTATGACAGCTTATTCAAAAAAGAAATTTCTGGCATGGAAATCTCTTTCTATTATTATCGATCATCTTCACTAAGCCTAAACAAAGAATTATTTGAAAAGATTATCGTTTTTGAGAAGAGTTTAATCGAATTTTATAATTGTATATTTTTCAATTTGGCTGAACCGCACTTCAATCTCAAGGATGACATACTCCAAAACACGGTTGATTCAACGACAACCAACATTGTTCTAGTACAATTTAAGAAATTTATAAAAAATGTAATAATTTATAATTTAATTTATAATGAAATGCTGATTATCAGCATCTTAATACCTTTATATACTGATTGACAGCATCAACAGCACAATTAAAGAATTTTCCTTTAACCTTGCGTATCGCGAGTCAAGAATTGACCGCGATACTTTTGGTTACTCTCATGTTTTACTGGAAAATCTCCCAATTGAATTGAGAAGGGATTTTTTGAGTGCATGAAGAGTCTCTATTTTATGAATAGTCCTAGATTAAAAATAAAATTAAAAATTAAAGTTTTGGTAGATCTTCGATATTTCTAAGATCAAAATTTTCAAAGCTTGTTGGACGATCAGGAACGACGATCACGACATACCAAGATTTTCAAGATTGTATTAAAATTACCTATCGGATTCAGAAAAAAATCATATATATTTGCTTTATAAACTAAACTTAAATTTTTTAATTAATTTAATCAACTTCGTATTTTTAATTCAATGCTTAACAATCAAATTTGTTTTTTTCGCATCAAATATAGATTTTTTATTCAATATTTCAAGACTATCTTTCAGATTAATTTTCTTTGTACTCATTTCATGCAACATATTTCTGATATCTTCGGTATCAGTTGTTAATAGCGAATTGACCAAATTGAGTTCGTGCCACATATTGATAAAGAATGTAGTGCAATCATCATTATAACTACCGAATTCACCACATTTCCAGTCCCATGGTATAGTATAATGATATTTTGGCCAAAATGATTTCTTCAAAAAAGAAAACGCTCATAGTGCTTGATGGAAACCTGGAATCATAACGAGATTATAGAATTGCAAAATTTCAGTTAATGCTTGCTTTGAATAAATATAATATATGAAATTATATAAATATTTTTTACATAATTTTTTTATCCTATTAATTTTTATCGTAATATTGATAATTTTTGTTAACAAACAAAATATTACATATTTATTTGTTTTACACCTTTTCAATGTCATTTCAATGATTAGTTGAATGCTAAGAAAATTTTTTTGTTAAATTTTAATATTTTAACATGTTAATAAATAAATT